ATAGTGAGTAATTAAACTGCAGTCACAGGGTATTGTTGAAGTTAACGTTCGTTCGTTATAATGTTTGTTTTAGCGCGAATATTGAAATTAAGTGTATCGTAAAGTTATATTCGGAAAGAATAAACCAGTTTTATTAAGTAAAGACTTGTGTCGTTAAAGTTTCGTCGGAACGAAATTACGAAAAATCAATTAACAAACGGAGACGTAACAATATGATACAGCTACTTAATCATTCAGCTGTGAAACTGTTCAAGTAAGTTTATTTCTACATTAGTCATAGTAAAGTTAGCATGGAATTTCCTTTTGAATGCCATTTGTAAACATTGGCCTACAAGCTACAACGATGTACAAGCCTGTACAATTACTATGGAGGAAATAAATTAATTTGATATCGTTAAGTGAACTAGACTTCTAATTATTTTCATCAAATGATTTAAAACAACTCGCCCAACAAAAGAACAACAATACACGACACACACAAACATGTCTACTAGTGCCATAACTCAATTAAAATTTATTGGAAAAAGTTTTAATTCAACCTTTACCCAGAACCCTCAGATACAATATCCATTTATATTATAAATGTTTGCAATACCTATTAGTTCATGATATTGAATGTCACTTGACATACTTGGAAAAATTGCTGATTTCAATTTTTTATTTAGATATATTGAGGAATGTTTTTCTAAATATGGCCAAGTGGTTAGGGCGCTCAACTCACAATCTGCAGGACGCGGGTTCGAATCCCTGTCATACCAAACGTGCTCACCCTTTTAGCCGTGAAGGCGTTATAATGTGACGGTCAATCCCACTATTTGTTAGTAAAAGAATAGCCCAGTAATTGGCTGGTGATGATGACTAAATGCCTTCCCTCTAGTCTTACACTACTAAATTAAGGATGGCTAGCGCAGATAGCCCTCATGTAGCTTTGTGCGAAATTCAAAACAACCAACAATCTAAATATTTTACAGGTGTTTTATGCATTATTAATGCCATCTTCTTAAACTGAACGTAGGAAAATCATAAATTGGCACCATTTTTTTTTTGCTTGTTTTATAGGCTTGAACTTGTTTGACCTTGTTTCTGTGTCATGCCCTCTTGAAGTGGAGTCATATTCATTTCACATAACGGTACAGAGACTTGCACAGGTTAGCATGAGTTGGGGTTTATCTCTCATGATTATGTATATTTGAAGTGGTCCTTCAATAAGTGAGGGGTATGTACATGATTCTGTATCTCGTTCTTGTCCTATGTGGATGTTTCTGGAAATCTCTCTACCAAAGTAGCTATTTGTAGTCATATAAAGAAATATAGGTCAGGCAGTAAGTATGAAATTTGCAATTTACTCTTTACTGTGTATAAAAATTATATTTTATTTGTTCACTTGTGCCCGAATGTTTTTACCATCGCTGTCTGTGTAAGAATATATCCTCAACTTGTATTTTGGGAATACTCGATTATTATTTGATAAACATCAGTGTATCTGAAAAGGACATGGACAATGTTACAAATAAGGATTCTTGCTTCTTGAATCAGTAAGCTGTCTTCTACAGGATGGTGCTATGTGTCTACTTCTCCCTTAGTTAATATTATATTTCTTCAAAATTGTTGTTGCTTTTCAGATTGTTTAGTTTGAGTGCACAGATTTTCTCAACTAACAATTTAACTTTCTATGTTTTGAACGCATGTAAGCTCTGGGTTCTCTAATTGGCAAATAACCAACTTTATTGCAGGGAAGATAGAACATGACGACCAGAAATAAAGTTATCTTTCCTGTGGTTGAATTAGATATGAGTCAGAGGCAACTGTGCTCTAGATCTCAACTTTCATTGAACATATTTCTTGAATGTAAGATCCATTTCTTAATGGCAAACTGTTGGGTATATTTACTTTAATTAAATCTAATTGTTTAAAATATGAAGCAATATTTGCATACAACCTAATAAAATTATAAATGCACTTATGAAGGTTATTTCACACAATAGATTTGGTATTAGTATTTGGGACGAACCTAAAACTCCTAAGCTGGCCGAACCTCATAACATACTGTTGCGTCAGCGAGGTCACGTGACTAGTATCACGCCACGTCTTTCTAGAAATAACCTGTTCCTTCGTGAATTGTCGGGAGACTACTAGATTGGGGGTAGTCTGGTATATATAAGACGTTCACAACGTGACGGGACAACAGTGTAATGAGTAATTGAATGTATGTGGACAGAATATTGTTGGCCACGTGAGACGTGAGTTATAACGTTTGTTATAGAGCGACTGTTGAAATTAAGTGTATCGTAAAGTTTTATTCGGAAAGAATAAACCAGTTTTATTTAAGAAAGGACTTGTGGCGCTAAAGTTTAGTCGGAAAGAATTTACGGAAAATTAATTAACAAACGGAGACGTAACAAACTGTTGTCAGAAGTGGGATAAAAAAATGGAAACGAGAAGCGGCAAATCAAACTACAGCCTAGCAGACTTAATGGCAGCAATACAAGAACAGCAAAAGAAACAAGAAGAACGAGAAAATAAACAAGAAGAACGAGAAGAGAAATTACAACAGTTGTTAGAGGAAAAAGAAAAAAAACAAGAAGAACGAGAAGAGAAATTACCACAGTTGTTAGAGGAAAAAGAAAAGAAACAAGAAGAACGAGAGAATAAACAAGAAGAACGAGAAAAGAAACAAGAAGAGAGATTACAGCAGTTGCAAGAAAACCTGCAACAGTGGCAGCTCGAACAGCAAAATAAACAAGAAGAGAGATTACAACAGCTATTGGAGGAGAAAGAAAATAAACAAGAAGAAAGTCAGCAGCAACTACAGGAAAGTCAACAACAGTGGTAAGAAGTACAAACGG